TTCACAATACATTTAAAAATAATGGTGTTACAGTCATTTTTGATAATGGTTTAAAGATTAAAGAAAGCTCATCAAATCACCATGGTGATTATTTGATTAATTACTGGTTTTACCTGGTTTTACCTTCTACCTGTGTATTGTTAAATGGCATTGGTTTATGCTAAGATATTATGCTAACATTTCGCAAAAATAACTTTCTTGAATTCAGACTGATTTTATTTGTTGGCCATTCTCTCCACATTTCTTCAAACTTTGACCTGAATTCAGATAAATTGTACATTTTCTAGAAACAAATAATGTTTGGTAATGTTTGGCTGGAGACCAGTAAAGAGCATCTGTGTTGTGTGAGATGCTCTAAAAAAATGGGGAAAAAATAAAATTCACTCAAATCCCTCGTACGTGTATTTTGTAAGAAATACTTGTAAAAGATGTTTTTTTATGAGCAAACAAAGTAGACTTGGTGATAATTTGACCGAGGGCTCTGTGTTGTCTGTAGAGCCGAGAAAACTCGTATTAGTTATTTATTGTAAGATATTGTTTATTTTATTGTAGTTTAGACATTTCGACAGACTTGTGCCAGGAGCTAACACATGTACCACAAGGCAAGAAAATATGTTAGTACAGTAGTTGGACTCTGAACCCCTGAAATGTACAAAATTGTGTTCATTTTTGTGGTCACTTAGGGGCAGCAAAGACACTTGTATGTTTCTTCTGACGTCATCATAATGGAGAGAAAACCAAGGCAGATTGTAGTGAGTTGTGTTACCGCCCATTGCCATATATGTTACATGGAGTTTGAAATAAAATTATGACTTTTTGAAACTCCGTCAGCATGTTAAGATAAAGCCGTCATGTTCACAGTGAGAGAGGGGATACTTTGAAGGATTTTTCATATTGTTGTGTAAATATATGGCTACTGTTGATACGCTGTAATGTATCTGTTGTAAACGGGGAAGAAACGGCTACCAGAAAGCAATACGTCTCCCCTTGTGCTGCCACTTTTCTAAATCTACATTTTACTATGTGACCATTTTACTGAAAATGAATAAATTATAGGTTTTATGTGACACAATATTGAGAACTGGTGGTTACTGTTCATTAGTTTTATTTAATCCCAAACAAGTGTCAAACAACTCCCTTAATATTTATTTATCAAAAGATGAACTACAGTTGACAATCTTTTTTGTCCTAAATGTTGGAGGTATCTGTTGGTTTGATGTCATGTTAAAAGAATCAATATTTCAAACCCTGGTTAATTGTTAGGGTCTTTACAATATTACACTTTTATCTTGAACTCAGACACATGAAACAAGAACCACTTTGTAGTTTAAAATCAGAAGTGTTTATTCATATGAAAATCTGAAATCAAGTTAGTTTCAGAATTACACATCTGTATTTTCTTTGCAGACTTGCGTACATTGCAGATCAGCTTCCTAAGGACAGCTGGCCAGACGGGTTGCACACAAGGAGGGAAATTTGTAGTGACATGGGTAATCATTCCAGTTCTTAGCTGTTCCAAAATTAGTATGTCCACAGTTTTCAATCCCTCCGCCATTATTTGGCTCTCCTGTAGACCAGCCGTGATTAATATGTCCACAGTCTTCTTCAACTAGGTGATTATTTGGCTCTCCTGTAGACCAGCCGAGAAATTTAGCTGGACAGCCATCAGACCACATCCAGCTTCCTTCTTTGTGAATGTCACTGAATCCAATCCAGGTCCATCCCTCAGCATGATCAAAGTTTTGAACCAAACTTCTCACAAACGATTGTTCCTCAGTACTGTGTATGGACACCAGGTTGGCTCCCTCTGAAACACAGTACAGCTCTGCATCAGCCCAGGCCAGATGTGTAGACACGTACTTGTAGCATCTGCTGTTGAAGCTGAACCAGAACAATGGACAGCCTCCACGCTGCAGTATGTTCACAGGTTCGCTTGAAGCTGATGAGTTTGATGCTGATGCAGCTCCCAGAGCCAGGGTGAAGAGGAGAAGAAACCTCATGGTGACCATTGTCTGAGCTGATCTGAATCTTCACTGTCGGTTTAGGAATGTGAAAGAAACTAGTAACAGGTTCTGGTTTTTATTATGGCTGACAGAGGGGTGACTGCACAGATGGTTTGATTCTATTGGTCAAATAAAGCTGACTGATTAGATTAAGATTGAACATTGAATTGTATTGGCACCACTAAAGAAATAAAAAACATTATCACCACAATGGGTTTACAACCTAAACAGTAACTTGTTGGAGATACAGTAGATTCTGCACAATGCAATCATTCTTTTAAAAAAGTTTTTTTAAAAGAGTTTCCAAAGAGTTTTCTTGAAAGCATTCAAAAACATCTGAGTGTATCTCAACACAATTTTGTTTAATATTTGCTCACCATCTTCTTGATAATATATACATAAATCAATGCCTGTTTCTTTCCAAACATATAGTTTCCCTGTTTGTAGAAAGATAGAGAGAAAACTTCATTGATCCCTCATTCTATTTCAGGAAATAAAGAAAGGTTAAATTAATTAAATACTACTCTATATTACAAAGGTGAAAGTCTGCGTTTGATTGACATAGAAGTGCAATAATTTGAAGAAACGTGGAATCAAGTTTATTGTGCAATTCACTGTGTAACCAGTTATAAAGCTATAAAAGTGGATTACAGTGTAATAACTAATTTGATTAATAGTGGAAGTTGGACCAGAATCAGAAGATACTAAGTTGGACAGGAGCCACTATACCAGAGGTCTCCAACTCCAAATTAAAATGGCTAAGAGCTACTTATGTTGTGTTACATTTATTTTCATAGCTGAATTCGAACAAACAAACTCAATAAGCTTTATTTGCCTCAACATTTACAATATGTCACTGTTGACAAATCACATTTTTAATTAAAACATCACCAAAGTATTATTATTATTATTGTTGTCGTGGTTGTTTGGCAGCGTGGCAGTCCACAAAAAACATCCATCTATTCAAGGTCCAGTATTGTTCCTCCATTATGTCCAAATAACCTGTTTTAATTTTTTTATTTTATTTTCTGCAGAATATCGCCGTCTACTGGCCACATATAACACAACTGATTGCAGTGCCAAACATATGTAGAATTCAGTCGATTGTGCTACTTGTGCCCAGTAGACGGCGATATTCTGCTGAAAATAAATAAAAACAGCTTATTTGGTTAACATTTTAAAATGGCAAAAGAGACCACTATTAACCCTGTGTTTCTTCACTTAGAAGACTATCTTACCACTAGATCAGGGACCAATAGATTAAATCATGAGGACTAAACGGAGAATGGTGAAAATTCAGATATTTACTGATACGAAGCCTGCACACCAATAAACCAGAGTCCCTGTTCCCACACATTGCTTGCTGTTAGTCCATGAATGTCCACTGAAGGGCCAGTGCTTCCCCTAGTGGACAAGTTTTAGCAAACCAACACGATTGTTTCACACATTCTACCTGCACACCCACATTCCTGTACTGTTTGTTTAAAATGGCCTATATAAATTATACTCATTACTCTTTTAGTAGAGTGGTATTTGAAAATTATTGTAAATATTACTTTGGGAGTTTTTTTTTAGTTCTATCTAATTATGGAGGTTCAATAGTGTACCTTTTACCTTTGACACTCTTTACAGCCATCCACGTGCACACTGCTTATACAGCAAAGAAAACTGTATTTAAAAACTAAAAAACACTGTATTTTTTAAACTTGCTCCTCTTCTGTGCCCTAACAGTTTACACAGTTGAAGTTGTTTGCCCAAGTCTATTGGACCAATCATCTTACAGTTTCAGTGCAACCACCCACTTCACTATATCTACAGCTTTTGAGGGTCTTGGTCCCAGAGTTGGGACTAGACCTCCACTCAGACTGGTTCAGTTTGCATCCTGTTCCTGTTTCAGACAAACCCCATGATGATTCTGCACGTTTTGCTGTTTGCTGTGTTTCTGGGTGCAGTTTCTCCTTCTGGTGAGGAAAACCTACAAAGAGGAGTCTGTCCACTGTTCTGGTTTGGCTACAACGACCGCTGCTACAAGTACGTGGCTACACCAATGACCTGGGCTGATGCAGAGCTGCACTGTCTGTCACACGGAGCCAACTTGGTATCCATGCACAGCTTGGATGAACATACATTTGTCAGGACCCTGATTAAGAACTTTGACCCCTTTGAAAGACCTGCGTGGATTGGACTCAGCGACACTCATAAAGAAGGAAACTGGATGTGGTCTGATGGCTGTCCAGTCAAATATGTCTTATGGGATGTAGGGCAGCCTGACAATAGACAGGTTGAAAATTGTGGACACATCAATAATGAGTCAAGCAAGAAATGGAATGATGCCAAATGCACTTACAATAATCCCTTTGTTTGTGCATCACGCGTGGCCAGCTGTCCTTCTTTGCCTAATGAACAGGGTGCAATTGCCTAAAATTCATATTTAAATGTATGAATAAAGATTAAAAGATTAAGATTAAAATGTAAGAGTGACGTGTGACTTGTGTCTGAGAAAAAAAAATGCATACTTTACCAAATGTTCACATCTATAATACATACAAATGTATTTTATTTTTTGCAAATATTGCACTCAAATAAAACTACTAAGTTCTCCAGTGTAGCACTAAGTGGCAAAACAGAGAAGACTAATGTTTTAAAATTAAATGTAAAATAATGAGACATTCAAAAACGTTTGTTTTATTGAAATAATGTGTAAAGACGATATGTGAATTATTATTATTCCAAGTTTATTAAACTTGAGTTTTATATTTACGTTCTATTGACTAAACCATGGGGCAGTAAATTAAGGATTTAATATTTTAATTCGTATTAACTCTTATTTAAACTTAGAAGACACTGGACGTTTAAAGAGACGTACATGAGCAAGGACGTCAGTCTGTGACGTAAACACGCCCGCTTGCAATTTCCGCGCGAAAACGTAGACTGTACCATTGTAACCGTGGCGGGGATATGTTCCTGTGAGAAACCACAGTAAAGTAAAATACAAGTTACTCATACAAAATAACAAAATGTAGTGAATAATTCATAGATATAAATGGCATCAATGATGTATATTAAATCACAATTATTGAAATATTTGCTGATTCAGTCGCACGAACAACAACGATAGCCCCCATTTTTGTGTTTACCGGAAATACACCGCGTTTCACTTATGAATCCACTGCTCATTGTTTTTCTGTGGTACATGGCAAAACTTTGTGTTGATGGGAAATAAATCAGAAAACAAGGACAGGATGACACTTAAATCGCAGGTAAGCACCGTTTTGCCCTGCTGTATTTATGGAGTAACAATCGAACTGAGTCGGGTGTACAGCACACGTTTCTCCATTGTGTATTTTACAGAAACAGTTTCTAATGGATCGACGTAGAAACTCATATTCTGTGCAACTATTATACATATAGTATTACTTTACTAAGAGTAAAGTATCTCCACAGCATCGTGTCTGATTTACTACACGTATTTAGCAGCATACGTCATTGTACTGTTCTGACAGAAACTATATTAATTAAAAACAGGGTACAAATCACACGCCTTGTAAGACATTGTCTTTATATTGTACCACAGCACAAACGCATGATAAAAGACAACGTAACATTCTAAACCTTTAAATCACTACTGCAAGTGATGATTATTTAGCAATTTAGAACCACCTGTTAGCATCATCATCATCTAAAGTGGTGTAATATGTTTGATGTATTTGCCAACAGACTCCTTGTTTCAAGTCCAAGTACATCACTACTGAGTTGGCTCATCTCTTCAGTCAGTCAGACAGCGAGGAAGAGTTTGAAGGTTTCAGTGAGGATGAAGGAGATGACAACAGAGGGTGTAACAAACACCTCAAGGTATACAGTGATCACTGCTGCCTGTGTGTTATTTATTATCAGCATATGTGCTTTTACCATTTGACTACTTTATACTATTTTACTTTTTCCACAGAGTGTTGATTCTGAGGATAGCGATGTGGACACAGGCTTCTACTCTGATGGAGACGACACACCACCAACTAAAAGGAAGAGTCTTCTAGTGGCTCTGAGGTGTGAGACTAAAGACTGGACTTGTTGTCAAAGTCTGTTCATGCAGCAATCTTAATTATGTATAACTATTCAGAAAAATGAGAAGTCACTTTATGATGAGGTCAAAAGGCATGAATATGTGTGTGTTAGCTTTTAGGAGGTTAATAATTAATTAGTCAATGCTCTCTGACACTCTGCTGGTGTCTGTACTTGTCCATATTTATTTACTCTCTGGAAGGGTAACAACCATGGACTGTTGAGCAGCTCGACTTTTATTCAGCAAAAAAAAATATATGTTTAAACAATTTAAGTCTGTAATTTAAAAAAGTTCTTCTGATTTCTAAATTATTTTATGTTTAATTTGAAGAACTGGTAAATTAACACCATCATGGCATTTCCTTTTTGCCAGCATAGTGGTTCCAGTGCATCATCAAATTAAAAGTTAGTTGCATTTTTAGAAATGATACCAACTTTTCTTTTTCTTCTCCTCCTTCAGGTTTCCTATGAAAAGATTGTCTAGTTCCAAAAAGGAGCCAAGGCAGAGAAATATGAGTGAGCTGGTTAGATGCACTCCTCCATCACAAAGAGCCAGCGAAGAGGTGAAACCTGAGAAAAGAATAAAAGCAAGGGAGGAGAAAGAAAAGAAGGAAGAGAAGGAGGATAAAAAAGATGTTGAAAGAGATGATGAAGAGAAAGTCCTGTCCCAGAGTCTGAAGAAACGAGATAAGAACATACAGGAGAACAAAGCCATGGTAAAAGACCTTCAATGTTAAGAGTCTGTCATTCAGACTCTTAACATTCTATTTCTTCATATTGTTGTTTGACTTCTCTTTGGTTTACCTACAGCTGGCCAAACTGTTCGCTGATCTGAGCACCCTGGCAGAATTTGGTCTACCCACAGAGCCTCATGTGAGTATTAGCTCTGGTAATAATGTTCACAGATTTAGAGGAAATGTGTCAGAGAGTTTTTTTTTTTTTTGTAGAAGAAAAGGAGGCAGTCGTCAGATAAGACAACTCCACGGAAACGCAAGTTTGAACAAGAGCCCGGCTCAGAAAGGAGGAATCCCTCTCGTAAGGCCCGCCCGCCAGAGAACTTTGGGGTGGAGGAAAAAAGTGAACCAACCATTCACAAAGGCCCCAGGACTGTAGATATTAGACAACTGATGGAGGTACGAGGTGTGACAAATTCCTTTTGTATAAAAGTTATGGTTCAAAAAGAAAAAAACAACTTTTGAGTCTTTGAGTCATAGTCTCCATATAATCCAGCAGAGGGCGCTCTAACCTCGCTGGTAAAAAACAAAGTCTTGACACTTGCAAGAGAGTCCAGCAGTATCACTGTGCTGACAACCAGTGCCCAATGAGATTTAAGATTTTCGCCTGGTTTCTCCTTGGTCTTGTGTATAGTTGATTTTTTTCAATTATTTTACTAAATATAATCTACCTGAAGTGTTCATGCAGTTTGTCAATATTCATATTTTATACATTCTTGTTGGTTACCAGCCACTGTGTGGTTTTCACGCCTCCAATGTTGTATCTGTGTGTTAATTTGACAGGTGGATGAGGGTCTCGTGGGTGAGAGACAGAGGAAACGTAAGAGCCCCGGGTGTAAAAGGAGCCAATATGTGGTGAAGTCAGTGGATGAAATCACCAAAGAAGACCTGGACAACATAGCGTACCGCAGCAAAGACAAGATCTGGGACAAAGAGAACGTGAGTCACTGCAGGCCTTCACAACGTCCATTACTGCTGCACTGTAACATCACTGCCGTCACCCAGGGCTCATTGATGATGAAATGCTGAGTCACCGTCTGACTGTGTGTTTCCTAAAGGGGAGCTCGTGTCACCAGTGCAGACAGAAGACCCTGGACACCAAGACGGTGTGTCGCAGCGGTGTCTGTGTGGGGGTCAAGGGTCAGTTTTGTGGGCCCTGCTTAAAGAACCGATATGGAGAGGATGTGCGCACCGTGCTGCTTGACCCGGTCAGTTCTACGCAATCGATGTAGGAGAGATGCACTTTTGTGATCCAATAATTTGATGTCAAGGCAAAAAAAAACCAGCATTGTACAAGTATAGATAAATATGTCGGCAGTAAATCTGCTGTGACACCAGTGATTTGAGTGATTTGGAATTTTTAAAAATCTTTTCTTTGTCCTCCATAACCTGGGCTAAATTTGTACATTCTCTGTGAAGACCTGGTGCTGTCCAATCTGCAGAGGGATGTGTAACTGCAGTCTGTGTCGCAAGAAGGAGGGCCGCTGTGCCACAGGCATCCTGGTGGGATTGGCCCGCTACAACGGACATGACAATGTCCACGAGTACCTGGAGAGGTCAGTGACATTTCCCTCTTTAGTCTAATATTTAATATCACAGGTAGAAAATATATAAACATGACCAGATCAATAGATTACATTTGTTTAGACTTTGTTTTCTTTCTTTTTTTTATCACAGCATTCAGAAGGAGCTGCAGTAAAATCCAGATTGAAGGAGGTTGAGTTCCTGCTAACTACTGTAAACTTGACACGATTGTTTTTAGGTTAAAACCAATCCTATGTTTTACCAGAGATATTCTTTAGCAAAATCTTAGTTATTTTCACCTGTTCAGCTTTTCTGTAAATACCATTCATGATACTGTACATCATTCTGGGTTTTACAAGAAGCAGTTTCAAGTAGTTTTAAATATTTTTTACAGGTCATCAATAAACCTTGAGCTGTACATTTTAAGAAAGGTTATGTGTCGATTGTTTCCATATGCCGGTGGTTTTTCTCTGACTTTTTTTAAAAATACATCTTTACTTCTTTACGCGGCACAGTTCTCTCGTCCATTCACTGTACAAAGTTAATAAAGCAGTAACCCAAGCCATGTTTATAAGAGGGTTTTGAAATTATTGTGATGTGACCAGGTAAAAAAGCCACTGATTTTCAGTCTTGCATGTTGCTGTTGTGCCTCTCAATTAATATATTCTTTGCTGCTTTATACTCTGTATGGTCACGTGGGAGTGTGAGCCAATCCCAGCATTTATGGAGCAAAGGTGGCGAAAACACCCTGGACAGTTCAACAGTCCAACAATAAACCAACCCTGTATGTGCCCGACTGTGGGAAAGACAAAGCCTACAGACACACATACAGCAAAAATAAAATGCAAACTAAAATAAATATAAATATTAGATTCAAAAAGTCCATTTAAAATTGGAGTGGTTAGCAGCTTTAGCTTTGTGATGTCCTGGTTGGAAATATGACTGCACAATAATAATAATCTGTCTATGTCCGAAACCTGGAAACAAACTTGTTTTCTACTTTAGCTGCTTCATTTGCAGTCCGACTGCTGCACCCAATTGTTCACTATTATCTTTATTCCCCAACAAAAAAATCCTAAAGTCCAAAGATAGACATTTTTATTCACTTTATTTTCAAGTGTTATGCAGGCATAACATTTTTCTCTGTGTTGAATTTTCCTTCTTTTTTTTTTTTTTTTAAATGGACATAACACGTTTGTACAAACCAGTTTTTTAAAAAATATCAATAGACTCAGCCTTTGAGGCTAACCTGGCAAAAAACCCATTATCAAATGTCATGGAGACGAACAAACATCTTTAGAAAAAGATTTACAAATGAGATGTCACTACAAAATCTCAAAGAAAAAAAAAATCGGCTGTCCACACAAAATATTTCCAAAAAACATCTAAAGTTGTTTTTCAACTTCAAACAATATTACATTTTTTGCTTCCTTCTTCATCTTGTAAATCATCTTCTTTTCTTCAAAAAATTTATGGCGCAAATCGAAGTTAAACGGCATTGGTTAGACGTAGGAAAAAAACAAAAACAAGCACAAAGATTAAGGGAGAGTGAGAGAAGCAGCACTACGTCAAAGAACTGAAACATGCTGTATACACAACCTCAGAATTAAAGCACACAAATACAAGTCCAGTCAAATCTTACAAATAAAGGATAAATAATAAATTAAGCATACACAGTGGGGTCCTGTGTTAAAACACCAGAAAGTGGACTTTTGAAATGATAAATTCTAGAAAATAATTAGAATTTTTTTAAATTCAACAAAAGCTTGTACGCACTGAACTAACACAGCAACACCACCAGAAAACATCTCAAATATCCACATAATTAAGTAGCTCGAACCGCATCCACCCGCCCGCCCGAAATTAGCCCCCCGATTCGTCTGTCTGTGCTGTGGTCTGCTCTCCACGTCACCCCACCTCCATCTCTGACATCCTCTCTCTTAACGTTCCCTCTGCACACCGGCTTGTGTTAAGGCAACCGTGGTACATGGTCACGTTTGGGGTTCAAAGGTGAAGGAGGAGATTGCAACCAGATAAAAGTCAGATAAAACCACTCCCACGCCTGCCAGGTAACATCCACTGTTGACGCAGCACCTGCAAAAAAAAGTGAGCTGGCATGGGTCAGACGACAGCAGCAACGACCAGGGTCGGACCCCCACTCCCTCCCATCTTGGAAAAACTAGCTTTAAAATTCCCCCAAACAATGTAAACATGGTTTCATTAGGATTGTCATTATAGTATTGCTTTCTCTACAAAAACAAAGTTGTGGAAAGCTGGATTGTTTTTTTTTATTATTATAGAAACCTCTCTTGTTTTTCTAATGGCCACTGCGCCTCATTAGGAATGCATTATTTATAAATCTTTTCATATGTGCTTTTTTTTTCAACGCTCGTTCTCTCTCTATTCTTTAAATTCTTCAACAATGTAATCAGCGACTAGTCTCGTAGGAGTTGACACCTGAATCTGATCCAAGCACTAAACCTGAACCATGAATAAAACTTAAATTAGGTAGATCCTCTCAGAGACAGCCAGGGGACACACACGCACAATCACACACACTTTTACACACACACACAATCCCAAGACTGTCTGTGCTCTGAACTCTGCTCCAACAGTCCTGCACCATGATTGACCCTCAGCACTGTCTGACAGGTATGAAACAGGAACGTAACTTTGTGCATAGACTTAGATTCTGTTAAGAATGTTGGGAGAATTGTCTCTTGATGTCAGGTTCCTGTGTCTTGTGCTAAATTACACTCCTTATATTCCTTTACTTACAGAGCCTGGAATTCTAGATTTGTTTCAAGCCAAACTATTTTTTAAATTTGTTTAGGATATTTTTAACATTTATTATCAATATAGTTTATTATCTGCAGGATGTCTTTTTTTAAATTTTTAAATCAGGATGTCAGTTGTATGATTATATGTCTCTTCAAGTCCTTTTTCATTAGGAGAACATGTTAAATCATGTAAAAGAAACTGAGCAAAAGAAGAAACTGTCACAGTCCCTGCAGAGACTCGCAAGAGTACAGGAAGTCAGTCGTCACATGTTGCCCTATTCAAACCCTCTGCACACCGGCTTGTGTTAAGGCAACCGTGGTACATGGTCACGTTTGGGGTTCAAAGGTGAAGGAGGAGATTGCAACCAGATAAAAGTCAGATAAAACCACTCCCACGCCTGCCAGGTAACATCCACTGTTGACGCAGCACCTGCAAAAAAAAGTGAGCTGGCATGGGTCAGACGACAGCAGCAACGACCAGGGTCGGACCCCCACTCCCTCCCATCTTGGAAAAACTAGCTTTAAAATTCCCCCAAACAATGTAAACATGGTTTCATTAGGATTGTCATTATAGTATTGCTTTCTCTACAAAAACAAAGTTGTGGAAAGCTGGATTGTTTTTTTTTATTATTATAGAAACCTCTCTTGTTTTTCTAATGGCCACTGCGCCTCATTAGGAATGCATTATTTATAAATCTTTTCATATGTGCTTTTTTTTTCAACGCTCGTTCTCTCTCTATTCTTTAAATTCTTCAACAATGTAATCAGCGACTAGTCTCGTAGGAGTTGACACCTGAATCTGATCCAAGCACTAAACCTGAACCATGAATAAAACTTAAATTAGGTAGATCCTCTCAGAGACAGCCAGGGGACACACACGCACAATCACACACACTTTTACACACACACACAATCCCAAGACTGTCTGTGCTCTGAACTCTGCTCCAACAGTCCTGCACCATGATTGACCCTCAGCACTGTCTGACAGGTATGAAACAGGAACGTAACTTTGTGCATAGACTTAGATTCTGTTAAGAATGTTGGGAGAATTGTCTCTTGATGTCAGGTTCCTGTGTCTTGTGCTAAATTACACTCCTTATATTCCTTTACTTACAGAGCCTGGAATTCTAGATTTGTTTCAAGCCAAACTATTTTTTAAATTTGTTTAGGATATTTTTAACATTTATTATCAATATAGTTTATTATCTGCAGGATGTCTTTTTTTAAATTTTTAAATCAGGATGTCAGTTGTATGATTATATGTCTCTTCAAGTCCTTTTTCATTAGGAGAACATGTTAAATCATGTAAAAGAAACTGAGCAAAAGAAGAAACTGTCACAGTCCCTGCAGAGACTCGCAAGAGTACAGGAAGTCAGTCGTCACATGTTGCCCTATTCAAACTCCTCCTCTTCTTCCTCCTCTTCCTCCAGGTGATTCGAAGTGGTGGGTGTAGCGGGTTCAGAATCACGCGACAGTGTGGCCACAGTAATAATCTGAGGCGAGGCGCCAAGGCCTTCAGCGGCCTCTTCCTCCATGTCATCAGTGGTAATGATGGCCACGGCGGCGCCGCCCTTCTTGTTTTGGTGAGTCTTGATGTGCTTGGACAGGTGGTCGCTGCGCATGAAGCGTTTGGAGCATTCGGGACATTCGAATCGCTTTTCTCCTGGAGCAAAATGGAAAGGAATGTTGGTCGGTAGAAAATGTGTACAAACAAGAGCTTCTGCTAAAAATATATCTGCTCTGATAAACACTCATCGTGATAGGTCGGTGTTACACATGTACATACTGTAGTTGAGTGATTCCCAACCACTGCGCTGTGGCACATTAGCGCGCCATGTCAAATTATCCAATTTCACCTAATTGGCTCAAAATATTACTTTTTTTTTTACAAAAAATAACTAGTCACTGACACAGTCACTTAAAATAAGTATGTGGCATTTTTAAGGAAGTGAAAAACGGTTGTGGTGAGAACAGGTGGAAGCACCTGTGTTATTGTTCATATTCTAGGCTGTGTGCAGGGATTTCATTTATTCTGATTAGTGGAAATATGAAAGAAAGACCATATGGCACGAATGCCTCTGTCTGACTTACTGTATTAAATATAAGTTATAATATAAGGAAAGAAGAAGTACTTCTTGTATTTGTTTACAATACGTGTGACTAACGCTGATCTCCATCATCAATAGTAATGCCTTAAAAAAACTGAAGGATAAACAAAGGTAAAAAGTGAACTCTCTCTGTTGGAGAATCTGTTGGATCTCTGTGCCTCTTGGTTTGTGAGGTCAAACAGGTTATCATTGGAAAAACAGCACAGGCAGAGGGAATGGCGTTAATCACCTTTTCCTGGCTGCTTCCCAATACCCTCCTGACGTGTGTTCAATGCATTGGTAAAGACAGGTATAGCTGACCACAGTGACCCACATAGCTGCTCTCCAGCACTCTACCTGTGTGTGTTCTCCGGTGTCTCTGCAGCTCATCGCTCCTCGTGAACCTCTTGCCACAAAAGATCCAGTTGCAGACAAACGGCCTCTCCCCGGTGTGCCAGCGCAGGTGAGCCCTCAGGTGAGACGTCTTGCCGTACACCTTCCCACAGCCCTCCATGTGGCAGATGTGCTGCTTCTTCTTTGTAGGGTCACCACTGTTCCTACAGCACACAGGGTAAAAATAAACAAAACATTTTTTTTGTGAGGTTGTTACTACATCTGCTGCCAAATAAATGGATTTTCTACTGCGCTCGTACCTTCCCTCTCCATCCCTGCAGTTTGGACATGAACAGGCCACACGTCTGAGCCTCTTGCTCGGAGGTCCTTCCTGGTCTGAAGAACTCTGTACGGAGCCCAGCTGGTCTGGACTCATGGATGACCCTGGTGCCACATTGCCAACAGCAACTGTCACTGAAGATGACTGAACTTTGACCCCCTCCTGACCCTGTGGTTGACCTAAAAGTAAAAAAAAATGATAATCACACACATGGCAGCAGGAAATCCTTGAGTACTTTGACTTTGTGTAGTACACACAGTGTCCTACCATGCACCAATACGTGCTGCTGCTACATAGACGACCATGCGGTGGTGTCCTTACCCTGTAAACCAGTGATGGTGAGGGGAACACCCTGCACCTGGACTCCAGCAGTGCCCAGCCCTGCAATGCTGACCGTCTGTACCCCGGTGCCTGGGTTGAGCTGTGCTGTACTGAGTGTTAGGGGGGTTCCACTCAGGGAGACCAGCCCTCCACTTCCCACCGTCGTTCCGCCGGCTACGGGGGCCAGGGTCAGCTGCTGTGGCACCGCTGTCCCCAAGCTGCCCTGTAGAGAGACGCCACCGGGCAACTGCAGGGTCTGCCAGGTGATCTGCCCAGAAGGTGACAGTGTTGGGGTACGAATGAGGACCTGTGCTGGGTTCTGGAAAGCCTGGATGGGTTGAAGAGTTTGACCTGGGGCGAGCTGAAGAGTTTGAATGTGCTGAGGTTGTTGCTGGACCTGGGCCTGACCCTGATTCTGAGTCTGGGGCTGCAGCTGGATCTGCTGCAACAACTGGGGCCCCACCTGCCCCACAATCACCTGCTGTATGGATCCACCAGTGTCTGCCTGGGTCTGCAGTCCGTTTGCTTGGTTCTGATTTTGAGAGTTGGCCTCGCTGCTCTGCACCTGGGTGTCAGCTGACCCTCCCTCTGATCCAGCAGAAAGCACTTGTGGCCCTTCAGACACGCCCTCACCCTCAGCACCTGCTGGAACTATGCCAGCTGAAGCTGTAGAAAGAGCTCCGCCAGGAACTGTGGTCATCAACTGGTTGCCATTGGTAACAGAGAACGTTCCATCTGCCGATTGGATGAGCTGCATGGGCCCGCCCCCTCCAACGTTATTAATTACAGGCAAAGCCAGGGTCATGCCTCCAAGGTTTATGGGTACCGTGGTCATGACAGGAGTCTGCGAACTCTGCAGAGTCTGCAGCTGCAGTGGGAAGGACTGGGCCGGACGAATCTGTAGCGGTACCGTCTGATTAGCAGTACTTGTCAGGATGGCCTGTTGATTGGACGGCTGCAGGATGGCCTGGGTCTGACCTGGACTTGGTGTCTGAATGAGTTGAACTTGCTCCGTTAGTGCCCCGAGGGTGGTCGGCTGAGCTGAGCTGATATGGATCTGCTGGCCATCTGCAGTCTGCAGGTGAGGGATGACCTGATACTGAACCCCGCCCCCAGCATTGGGCAGATTCTGAACCTGGATTATCTGGAACTGCTGCTGTTGTTGACCGGCAGCAGAGCTGTTGGTGCCAGCCACTGTTTTCACCTGCAGAAACGGAGGGCAACAGTCAGGAGAAACAAACCCTGCTAAAGACAAAAGACACTTATTTCAAACTACAATGTGCCACGCCTCCTTCACCTTGCGTCCACCAGGTGAGCTGTCATTTCCCAATGTGGACGCCACCGTCACTGCCACGGGCTGATTGGTGTTCTCTTTTGCCATAGCAGGAGCTGCTGCGATGATCTGCCAGCCGTTTCCTGTGAACTGAGCGGGAACCAGTTCCAGCTGTTGGGGGACAAGGGTCTGCCCCCCTGCTGCGTCCACAACTATTTGACCTTGGAGCTGACCTGCCTGCAGCTGGATCTGACCGGCCTGCACCTGAATCTGCTGGGCCCCTGCCTGGGCCTGGGCCTGGGCCCCTTCTGTTCCTCCCTGCCCTCCGATCTTACTGCAGGTGGCAGCTAGCAGAGCCAACGGAGAGGGCTGGGAGGAATCCTAGAGGAGACGAGGTAGAGAAAAACTGGTAACACTTAGACACAAACAAGAAAGTACAACATAGAAGTACCAAAAAACGCCACAGGGAAGGGATGGGCTGGTGTCATTACACACACTTCTTTAAAGAACGTATCGAATTGATAGTGAAGAAGAGCAGAAGAGCTTGGGGTGGGGAATTTATGGTACACAAAAAAAGAAAGAAAAAGAGAAAGGAAAAAGAAAGCAAGAGAGTGCTGTCAGTGGAAGTGGGCGGCGTTACAGGAAGCGAGTGGGTTGGCGTGTGAGAACCACATTTCTCTTTTCTCAGAACCGTAGAAAAAAAATGCCGCCTTAGCTTTCTCTCTCTCCCTCCTTTTCAAAGGAACTAGGTCGCAGGCAATTTTTTAATGCTATATATCTCAGCGCATTGTACAGAAACAGGTTGATTTGTCAGTTGATCCAGTGTGGAAAATAACACAACAACAGTCCCTGTCACACATGTGTAACTCTCTGGTATGATGAGTTGAAAACAATATCTAGGGGGATAAAAAAAAAAAAAAAAATTGTAAAAACAAATTTGAGTATGCACAGCTGTTTCCTAAGAACAGTTGAACTGACAGAAGTGTGACAGCCATGTAAGCCTTATTACCAGGCTTGGGGCTGACTCTCTGCAGGGCTGCACAGAAGCAGGAAGTTGAATTCACAAGAGAAACGCCCACAGAGGTGTCTGGCTCACTGACTTGCCAGTTGGAAAAGGGAGGGTGCACATTTTTGGCCCCGGAGGCAAGGCAAAAGTAATGAAGTACCATAAACATTTATTTGGTTAAATTTCTTTTACCTGTGATCCAGAACTTTTCCCCTTTTTAGATGCTTTCCCTCCTTCAGTTCCAGATGATTCCTTCTTGGAGTCTGTAGACAGAGGAGAGTGTTTATGAGATGATCACAGGAGTGCATTTGTTAATGGTACAAAGTCTGAGGGAGAGCAAAGAAACATCTGATCATAATACTGCAGATACAGCACGACAGAGGTGGTCAATACAAGCTGATGTGTAAAGCTGTAATCTCATCATTAATATCAAAGAGGCTCTGGAACGTCATGTCTGTCAAACACACACACACACACACAGAGGTAGCGACAGAGGGGTGGAGAAGGGGAGGGTACCTACCACTCATAACGCATTAATATACCGAAAGGGAGAGGGTGTAGTTCACGGTAGAAGGCCGGCCGGGTACGGAGGCGGAGGACGGCCTATATGTTTAGCGCTGGGCCGTGGCGGATCTGCCCGTTTGACGATACCACCCACCGGCCAGGAAGGGCGGTGCCAATCGCAGGCACAATCGACCAGCCCCGAATAACGGAAATAACGGTGCGCACAAGTGACGGTCCCCCGGCCCGAGCAAACCTCCTGCAGCCCCGCCGAACGTCTTCGTCAGCGGGTGGACACACCATAAACGAGCAAAGTGTAGCTTGTCACGGAGATATCCACAGAGAAGTTGGCAGTGTGTGACCGTGGAGGCCCACCCACTTCCATTTAGGCATCAGGACAACACCCTCTCCGCCGCTGCTTCTGCCTAACGCCGCCGTTACTCTTTTTCCGTGAGGGGACACGTCGTCGTTGTCGGTCGTGCAGCGAAAACAAACCGTCACCAGTCTTGGTATTTTACTCGCATTTCCCCTTTTTCGTGCACAATTGATTTTTAAGGGGCAGATAAGGGAGATAGCTGTGGCTTTTGTGGGCGGACGCGCTCCTCCCACATATTCAGATTGGACGGTGGAAGTCGCCGTGCGAGGGTCGAGATGGGAGTTGTATTTTGGTGAAGCCTCGCCTTCTGGACTCGCACTGGGCTACAAGGACGCCAACTCCCATGATTCTGTGCGACGTGGGCCGCTGTTAGATACAGCAAAAGATGGTAGTCAAGATAGTATGAGAGCGCATGTGGTGGGCGGGGCTTCGGGGAGGTTGGGGGCTGGGCGAACGGGAAAAGGAGGCGTGTGTGCGTGTGTTCACCCACGCACGAACGAGTCTGTTTGTTTCCACTTTGTGGTGGAAACAGGAAGAAGAAACTCAAAGAAAAAGAAAAACTCAAAGAAAAATACAGATATAAAAGAAAAAAAAAGAAAGCAAAATCCTATTTTGTTGCCCATTTTTTGTGTTGATTAGGGATTTGAGTGCTTCTCAAAATACAGATTTTAAATAACATTTTATTTTATTTTATTTCTAAAATATGCTGGTATTTAAGGTTGCAAAGGAAATGTATTTGATACCTTATCCCCTCTGAAATAAGCAGACGTTTCTGGAATCTTTTTTATTATTATTATCAGAGTGTAGGCCAGAGTAAGGCCAGTTTACACCATTCATCTTCATTATCTTGAACTTTAATCTCAGGAATAGTTGGTTCTGATTTGTTCAGAACCATTGTTGTAATAGCTTTTAATTTAACTTTCGCAAATTGAAATGCATTCTTGTGGAAATCCTGGTTTAAAGAAATCATTATCAGTCGAAAGGCTGCATGGTTTTAAAGACTCAATTTAAGTAATCTACTCATGTTTTAAGTTTGCCTTGCTTCTGTTCAAAAATGTTGGGTCGGAGAGATGCCGATGAGACGTAGTAGTTACCGTGGCAGTGATCATGCTGTGATCTTGTTTGTGTAATAGTCTGAAAACAAAGTCATGTCTCTCACCCACGCATAAAAACCTCTTTGTTAGCCGGAGGTAAATTATATGTTAAACTCATCTGAGTAAACACTGTTGTGAGCTCACAGGCCTGGCTGTTTTAACGCTCACGCAGTCAGTGGGGCCTTTCACTTCCTTTTAGAGATATGCCTGGCACACAGAGGGTAATATTCAGGCTAAAGACTATCATTGATGACAACACTGTGACGAACTGCTGTCACAACAAAACAGTGTCAGGGCTATGTTTTTTTTTTTTTTTGTTTTTTTTTTTTACTTATTAGTACTTAAAATTCTGATTAAATACAGCTATTCGGTAAAAAAAATAATTATATATGTATTTATGTTTAATCATACATGTATATGCATATATGTATAGATATTTACATATTTAGTTATATAAAAAAATACTTTTGTTTCCAGTTCTACTTTTTCATCTGTATTCTAGATGTGTTTCCTGACACACACCATGCACCTGTGGAGGCTCACAAACATACTGTAATTACTGCTGATGCCAAGTGTCTTGATCCCGCCCCCCTGGGCCACTCGGCAGTGTGTTGCTAGGCAACGATGTCTGATCTGAAGGAGGGGTGTTGTCTCCTGGTCCATATGCGTGTGTGGTGAGAAGCTGTGGTCATAATCAGTGCGGTATAGACAGACTAATGACCAATTGCCCAGTCTTTGTAAGCAATGACGGCTAAGTCCAACAACAAAATCAACAGGATCGGCAAAAATATACAAGGACCTAAACTGAGTTTTAATAAAAGTGCATTTGAGTACAGATACCTAGAACATACAGATACCAAACTGTCAGATAATTCAAAGTTCAGTACGTTTTTCTTGAAGAAGATGCAAAACGTTACCACAAGAGGGCGTCATGCAACAGTTAAACTCTACAGGAATTAGAACGCCACAAGTAAGTTCCTGCTTTCGAAAGGAGTTTGAGAACCCCACGTCCAGAAAGCTCTTAACGACAGCGCCACCCACTGAATTTGACGATTCAATGCAGTTATACATGTACAGTATATGTTTATATATTCATATATATGATATATATTTTAATCTGAATGGCTATACATTAAATCATAATAAATTAATCGCTATAAATGAAAGGAATTCTTAGTCTAAATTCATTGTCTTAAATTCGTTCTGAAATAGTTCTGAACTAGAAATGCTGCAGACATCCTTGTCTTAAGTGATATAGGTGGAGCTGTTGTGTCTCTGGTGTTTTTCAAGCTTTAAATCTTGTGCCCTTTAACACAAACAATAAACTCAAAGTTGAAATACTTGAGTCAGAGTGAGTGTCCAGGTGTAGGCCTTGTGCTTTTGTCATGATGCTGCACCTATAACGCACCACATAGCTGGAGATGACTGATAGGCTGGACATGTTGCCCTGGAGGCATTTGCATTGACCAACTCACCCCTATATGATTGAGAATAAGCAATGCAAGAATGTGTGTGCGTACTGTGGTGTGAGGTAGCACCAGCTCCTGAGCATGTTTTCATTTGTGAGTCAGTGCATAATTCCGTGCAGTTGTGCTTCCTTGTCATATTTCCATTCTGGTTTTGCGCCCATTTGCGTAGGAGTTCATTTGTCACACGCGAGCCAGGCGTCTCGTTGTCTCCGTTTCCTAAAGGTTAGGCTGTAAAGACACAGTGATTTACGACTTGTGCTATTTGTGCGTGAGAATGTGTGTGTTTGTGTGTGTGTGAGAGTTAGTGTATGCATGACTGTGATTTGTAAAACAGAGCAAGCAACTTGTTGACATGTGGTGGCAGACGTGCTACCTATAAGCTGTGATTATACACAGGTAGATCATTAAAATAAAGGATTTTCATTGATAGAAAAGTCAAGTTTGACTCACACTGGTGAGTGATGAGAGGTGATGTCACTCCCGTACTATGTCTTATCATTACCTCTGACTGTCAAGTGTTACATCCCAACACACACACACACACTGGCCCTACTGTGTCATTTTTACAATTGTGATCACTTCCTTTGCTGCTTGTTACATTTGGTTTATTTACAATAAGATTTAACTGGTGTTTTAGATATTTTGACTACATTTCTAGCAAACTTTTACATATTTTGTTCTTGGCTATGTAACACTGTTTAGAAACAAAATCCTTAGTACACTTCTTAGCTGAGTTGGCTGTGTTCTGTGTATGTCTCCGTTGTTGGAACTACCTTATAGTAGCAAAAGGTAGAAAGAGTATGAAAATATTCTACTCAAGTAAAAGTCCTATGACTCAGATTCGAAATGTGTACTCAAAAAGTGTACTTAGATTAACAGCAGGTGTTAAGATGATCTCTTGTTTAGTGCAAAAAGGACAAGAGGATATAAATCTCAATCCAGATGTTTTTATTTAAACATAGCAAAATCAAAGGCTATAGCAACATGTCTACACATGTCAATTCAATAATTTAGGAGGTATATTGTGCCATCTTCAGACAAACAGATGAAATTGTAAGAAATGTTGTTGATGGCAAAAGGTATCTGCAACCGATCTCAAAACAGAATTACTGCAGACTTGTCAATGTTCTTTTATGCCCCTCACCTCCACTCCCAACACACACACACAGGTAATACTGGAGACTAACGCACAGGAAAAGTCAACTCCCGGTCATTGGGTTCACCGTATGACCCAAAGGGTCAAACAAGCTCACATGTCACAACAAATAAGGGAATGTGTTGAAAAGATGCTTTAATTGAAAAAAAAAATCTTTATATACATCATTAATTGAGGAGGTTTAATCAGGCTGCCTACTGTCAGGGTTTCAATTTTATAAACCATGTACATGATATTCATATTTAAACTACTTGTTCTAAAGTGTGTCATTTTGCTGTTGAAAATGTCTACTCTGGTAGTTGTATTGACACGTGTGTTAATACAACTGTTACGATAACTGTTACGTCTGTTGAAGACTCCGGCAGCAGAGGTAAACACTGAGAATAAAATGTGTTTTTATACAGCACCATCACAGCTGTGTCACCAGCGGCAGCTTCACAGCCTGAAAATGGCTGAAGCAAAAGATGCAGAATGAAGTTGAGCTAAAGGACTATTAGAGGCGACGAGACCCCCGCTGTGCTCTCAGACAGTGAGCAAGCATGTGTTTAAAGAGTCTCTTTGAAGCCAAATGTGAAATGATTAAGTTCGCTTAGAAGTCTCCTCACTGAGTGTTTGTGTGTTTGAGTCTGTGTGTGTGTATGTCACTCTTTGAAGATGGTACTCATGTATGAGTTCAGGAAGACCTTTACAGCAGCACTAAGTGGAGGGTGCAGTAGGCCATAAAGATCCAAGATAAGTGTGTGTGTATGCGTGTGTGTTCAGTGCAGGACCTGATATGACTTGCGGGCCTAGTGGAGCTGACGCCAAGCACTTGTTTCTGACTGTCTGTTTATGTCCTGAATGACAGCCCTGAGGCAGTACATGTGTGTGTTTAGATGGGAAAAGAAACGTTTCATGTTTGACGGGAACCATCAATAAAACAGCAGCCATGAAATCACCTTGAAACAACCTGGAAGAGTGGGAGAAATTGTTTGTGTCTGACAGAGCTTATAAAACTAAAAGAGCTTAATACTGAGGAGGAAATTAGTTTTGTTGATGTTTTTAATTTCTCCAATCTATTTTTCATCACTTTTTTATCTCATAGCAACCTCATCAATCTAATTGACAGTTTATTGCCAGTAACCTGTATTTTTTAAATTTTAACACTAATTATTATTTGTTTTTTCTGAGTTTGTTTTATTTTTTTCTTTCATAATGTATAATCCATTTAATCTGGCAAGTCTGTTGATTAAAAATAAAATAAAAACACAGATAATTTATTTTCCATTTTCAGCCAAAAACTATTAAATTCTCGCCTACCTTGAGGAATAACTGAAAAATATGTCACTCTGCAATTATCATGTAAAACCAAGCAAGCCATTTTCAAGTAAATTAAACATCGAGCCATGTGCTTTTCTGTTTCAACCCTCTTACCCCCTTTCTGCCCCTTAGCTTTTAAAGGCATTAGGATGAATTGAAACCAAATGAATGGGAGGGGCAAAGGTTAAACAGGATCATAGTGTATGAGTGTGTGTGCATGATTTTGCATATTAAACAGTCACGGGAACACCTACAGTAAAATTAGGTGTGGAAGTGTAACTGAAAACTAAAAAGGAGCAACACGTGCAACAGGCCAATCTTAATTTGATTTATTTATTTGTCATTAGTTTAAACCAAATAAAGTAGCAATACAATAATTATCCAAAGTTAAACATATACCATTTTCTTTTAATTTAATTCATAATTATTATTTTTTAGATAAGATATATTTATTTCCGGTATATTTACCCTCTCAGAACCTTAATGACGTGCATGTTCCCTGGGGACCGCTTTTAGCTGAACACGGAAAAAGCAAGACCGGAACGAAAGGCCAGTGAGTGTTTAATTGTTTGTCTCTGTAAAGTATTATACCACTTTAAACTTATTGAAGTGTTTTCATATTTCTTTTACTACTTTAAATAAAAACATACATTTATGCCCTGCGTTTCATAAATTCACAAGGTTTCTGAAATGCACACACACAGCCATGTCTACTGCCAACATATCAGTTACTGCGGTAGCTAGTTTCCTTAGCTCTGTTTTTCCCGCCTCTAGATTGTTGTTGTTGACACAACTGCGTCTAGTCGCGCTTCCTGATGACGTCTGTACGTCAAACGACGTCCTCACCGGCGATGCGTTTACTGGCCTTCGTTGAAACCGTTTTTATTTCTGCGCGCACCCCCCCATTCAATGTCAGAATTGGGGACATTTTAGGGGACATCTGGTCTTTAGAAGTTTCTGTATTTTGAGTCTGAAGTATAAATTTGAAAAACAAAGTTGTAAGGCAGATCTCTCTCATGATTTCCTTTCAGCAGAAATACATTTTTCAGTGCAATTTTAAGATAGCGTGCTGGTGTATTAAACAGTTTGACCTGATGTTGGTTTTGTTTACGTGTATGCATTTGTTTTAGATATATATACGTCTTAATGTCAGATGTAGTTTTATTACTGATTGGATAAAAGTGCCTGGTTGATCCTCAAACATCCTTTTCACTTTCAAAGGTCTGACACACAGACACCGAACATCAACAACTTTGAACAGATCAATAAAGTCTCCTCCCTCAGAGCCATCTCATTAATATGTTGGTCCATAGAAGGGCTCCTTCACATAAATCTACAACTTTATTGTCAGTAGTTAGCAGAGACTAGTCTGATGTTGACGTAAGAGTGGAGAAACTCATAGCACAAGCAGCTTTAGTCAGGATGCGTGTTAAAAAGGTGCGAGTGTGAGTGAGAGTTAATCACAGCTTTATCCTCTCTCGCCCTGCATAATTCTTTTTTGCCTTTATAAATCCTTCTCCTCTCCCCTCCTCTTCCTCTCTTTCAGAGGGCAGAGAGAGCAAATGTGTTGGCAGTTTAAATGACCTCTGTGATGTATGACCTAACAAACCATAGACATCCATCAAGTCTATGCTGTGTGTGTGTAGGGTTGAAGAAAAAAGAATAAGTGTAATTTTAATCTACCCCAGACCCAATCTTCTCCAGCACTTCCTTTTGTTCTGAATGGGCATGTCTTCAGGTGCATGACGATATGCTGTATACTGTATATGAATGTGAATAAACAAAACCAAAAAAACAAAAACTCTTTTGTGTAATAAATTGTCTGGAGTGACTTTGTTTGAGGTTATGATGAGGCTTTGTTTATGTATGTATGTTTTTCGTTTACACATTTTTAACTATGCTTCCACTTTTGTCCGTCAGTCCTGCATCAGTCCTGCGTCAGTCCTGCGTTGACAGATGGCAGACGTGACCTCTCCAGGCTACAGTACTGTAATCACAGGAAGATGAGGTGTAGCTGCTCCAGGCACATCCTGGGACACAGCTCACCTGGACCCATTTACTCCCCTCTTCTTTAAAACAACTTCATCATCAGGTAAACTCCATACGGTGGGGGTAGAGGAGGGTCCAGGTATTTAAAATTTAGGTGTTGATTCGCTGCTTAAGAAATTATTTTGTATGTTCTGTCTCATATTACACATATCTCAGACAATATCCTGCTGTCAACCTGTCCATTAAAAGATTCAGTTCTGTTATTGTATTATGTGATGTATTCATGTGATTAAATCAGATGTTTCCGTCCTCTGTCAAACAATGGTCTCATGGTGGGTTCCGTTTTTCAACTCTTCTTTTACAGGAGTCTGAAGTCTGTTTACTGCTGTTGATATGGACAATAACTGGACAGTTGGGTGAGTGTTTTGGAAGAACATATGACTGAATCACACTGTTAGATTATTTTGTTAGTAAGTTTTATGTCACAAGTACTGTATATATATGTGTTAAGTGTAGATACACCTGCTATCGGTATCCATAACAACCGTTGATGGCTGTTATCTTTTTCGACCATGGTGTTCTGTGGTGACTGTTACTCAAAATCTGCTAAACATGGCCACAGAAAAAAACAAATTTTGTCCAATAAAAAATAAATATATTATGATAGAATATATTGGAAATATTTGCACAGCATTTTACCCACAGTCCTTTGTTATACTGACTTCTGAGGCTATTTCAGTATGTTGATTTTTAGTGAAACCTTTTGTTTTCTTTAATATTCTTTTTGAGATATTTTCCTACATGTTGTGGATCATCTTACTTTTGTTTTGTACTGGTTATCATCACATTTTTTTAAACTATTTTTCTACTGGAGAAAAGATCATTATACCAACAGTAGGAGTTCTCCAGTGTTATAACTTTTCAGATTCAGAAACGTTTCTTCTTTAAGCTAACCCATGATTTTTATTGCCATGGGGGAACATGTATGCAACTTTGTGGATCTAAATTAAAATATTTGTTATGTATTAAATATGTTCACACACATTCAATTTAAATTTATTCTAAATTCTAGAATCTGCCCCTAAGGTGTTTGCACATCTGCTTGTTAGCATAACTCTAATAGTTAAAGGTGGATTGCAATGAAATGGACTGATGATCTAGGTCATGGCTTGATAAAGCACCACGTTGACTTCACTGGTAAGGAGAACACAGACCAAGAGCGAGTTGTTATAGAGCAGTGTTTTGATGCTGGTGGAGCTCGGAGCTGTCTTGAGTGCTTTTCTGTGGCTGTTGGCAGCCACAGAAAAGTTTTGAAGGAATTCCAAACTACTTCCCCCTTTTACAAATTGCTGACCTAGCCTCTCGGTTGGAATCAAAATGCTTGTTTCATGTGCGGCCATGTGTCTGTTGACTCTTTGAATTGTCTAATTGTCTCAGCGGGCCAGTTGTTGTGCCCCGTGGATCACTGTATGCTCCCTGCTCTGCTAACAAAAGAGGAGATGAGGAAAAACAGCAATGAATGATAAAAACATTTCACCCATCATTCATTCAAAGAGGTGCCAGATCCTTATTTCACCCTTTTCTCTCCTCCTATTCTTCCGTCTCAGTGCCCACAGTGTGAGTGGAGAGCACACATCAATCTTTTTTGTTGACGTTCGATGGTGCGTTCTAATGTGGTCATTATCGTTGCTCAAAGAACAGGTTGGGGCTCAGACTGGGTTTCACTGGGGGATTTATAAGAACACACACACACACACACACACATGTTCAGTGTGGGAAAAGAATGCTGCTTTAAGAGGGACAGCTGTTTGAGTGGCTGCTGATGATGGTGATCAGGTTAAAGGTGTGATAGCCTACTGTAAACTCCACCTGTGAATGTGTGCCTGGGGCTGTGGGGGGGGGGGGGGGGTGCTGCTGGGGGTCTGTTCACTGTGGTCAACAATTTGAATTTCTCCAAAGAAAACAAGAAGTACAGAACTTTCACATATTCATTTGATGTTATCATTGTGTCCCTTTAAAAACGTCCTTCCTCAAGTCAGTCATAGATGTGCAGATAGTGAAGCTCTTTAATGGACTAAGCTGTTTGTCTTAAAGCGTATGGTCTTTCAGTCACAGGGTGTTAATGACTGGTCAGAATATAAATGACTTTCTGCTAGATAATTGTTTCCTGTTACCTAAAGGAGATTGAAGATCGAAACATTTTTGCAATCAATTTTATTTAAAAAAAAGTTATTTCCAGTATGTGATATTGATTTATGTCTATTTTATATGTATATGATCCCTACTGTGCAGGAGTCTGAAGTTCAGCTTGGTTGTGGATTTCCAAACATAGAAAACATGCCACAACAGGAAGAGGTGTTCTCTTTAAAGACACATTTGTTTTCAGTTGAATGAGATTAGACTGTTGGAGGCAGTGATGGTAGTTTCCTCCCTTTTCTCCCCTAAGGCTGACTGGGTACGCCCCAGGCACAGGATGGGATGGACCAGGACAGCCTCTCATCCATCAGCCGCTCCCTCTGTTACTAAACAGGCTGGAGCTCAAACTAGTTTTATTATCTGACGTCAGGCCAAGAGGCTTTTAACTGTTTAGACTTAGGTCTGTACCTCTGCCTAAAGGCAGTGAGTTGGTTGTGACTAAGACTGTACATCAAAATTCAAATGTATTCAAATATTCTAGGATTCTTCAAATACATATTTCACTTTTCTGTTCAACTTTTATTGTAAAGAAAGTGTTTATACAGTACTTAAGTACTTAAAAGTCGGATTTAATTCCGTTTTGAATGCTTATTGAATATTTCTAAAAATCTAAAATATACTCTCCCGAATAACCATGGAAACAATTTGCTGTAATACTACATTGTATATAGTATTACTGCATATTTACTTTAACTCACTAATGTATTAATTATGTTTGCAAATGAAAATATATGCTCAGGTTTCTGGGTTAAAATCTTTAATCCACAAATATACTGAGCATAGAAAAAAATAATATTAGGTTTAAAGGTAAAAAAAAGTTTTATTCCACTTAAGTCACAGAAACGATTGATTTCATTCTCTGAATTTTCCCCTGCAAAAATAAAATACCCTTATTTGGATAAATATCTCGTGCTCATGAATTGAGGTCACGGATTGAATCATCATTGTTTTACAGCTTAGACTTGTCTCTTACATGTTGCTGCATGAAGCCTCGCGATACTTCGCTTTTATGGTTTACGATGACCCCGAGCCTAAATGACGCTGACCTCTGATTGGTCCTGAACGGAACTTCAAAGCGAAACTACAGCAACTATAAAGCAGTCCGTGAAGACGCGCTCACATTCCAACAGACAGAAGTTAACACACACACACACTCTTGCCCTCGTCTCTCTTCTAACTCTCTCTCTCTCACACACACGCACACACTCAGACACACACTCAGACAGCCGAAGATTATTCCGCACAGAGAATGGCTGCTACACTGCTGCGGGTAAGTCTACACCATTGTTTACTTAAAAAAAAGGTTTTCATCATAAATGTGTTAGAATTGTAATTATGTTTTGTTTTTACTCGTTGTCGTTAATTCTTTGATTTGCATTTACTCTAATATGCTATTATATAAATAATATACACGTGACTGTTTAATTTCTAAATGTAGAGTCATACTGTAGAAAGTTTTCTTTTAAATTATTTAAAACGTTTTTGATGACGTTGGTGAAGTTTGCATGAGACTGGAGGATTAAATAGTTTAACTTGGGTTCAAGTTAGTTATTTTTCAAACTTATAACGAGCGTCATTGCAGATTAGGGTCCAGTTCTAACACTGCACTGATGATTGACCAGTCTTCTTGTCTGTTGTCCCCCCCCCCTCCCCCCTCAGGAGGAGCCCAGACTGGGCAGCACTCCGCTAGCCATGCTGGCTGCCACCTGCAGCAGAATCGGAGACCCCGGTCCATCGTGTTCTCCTTCACTTTCCGACGGACCCTCAGGACTCACCAAAGGCTTTCATACTTGGAGAGGCGGCGCCCCGCCGGGTGTCTGCATCAAACCATTCGGGGTTCCGCCCGGATCCGCCAGCAGTGCTGGAACCAGACTTACAGATACGACTAGTTCTTTTTCTCTAACCGCTGCTAATTCACCATTTGGAACCGATTTCTCCATGTACCAGACGACAATGTCGGCAGAGAACACCCCCTCTGACCCGGCACACGCCCAGCGCTCTGTGTTTCTGCCCAAATACCCCTCCTCGGTGGACGGTAGAGGGATTTACCCTAGGATGCATCCATATGAGCCTTGGTTTAAATCCGTAGATGTCAGTAACGCGCCCTCCTCTTCTAGTTGGTGGGACATGGGCTCTTGCTGGATGGACGCACAGACCCAAGCCGGGTTACCGTCACCCCTGGGCGCCTACGGCGCTGACTACAGCCCGGCCTTTACCCCCGGTGCTTCTCAGCACATCCTCTCCACCACACAGCACCTGTTTGACGGATTTCGACCACCTGTTTCGACTTCCTTTAAGGACTCCACCACCAGTGGGGCATCCGGGCTGCCAGGAACCGTCTCCGTGTCTGCGCCCGCGCCCGCTTCCTCCCGCGCCTCTTCTCGGCGTTACGCTGGCAGAGCCACGTGTGACTGCCCCAACTGTCAGGAGGCAGAGAGCCTCGAACAGGGGGGGTGTAGTCCGCGCCGGAGAGGGCTGCACAACTGTCACATCCCCGGTTGTGGGAAGGTCTACGGGAAGACGTCTCACCTGAAGGCGCACCTGCGCTGGCACACCGGGGAGAGGCCGTTTGTTTGCAACTGGCTCTTCTGCGGGAAACGCTTTACGCGCTCGGATGAGCTCCAGCGGCATTTACGCACGCACACCGGGGAGAAGCGCTTCGAATGTCCGGTGTGTCGCAAGAAGTTCATGCGCTCGGATCATCTCAGCAAACACGCCAGGACGCACAGCGCCGAGGGCGTGGAGGACGGCGGGGAGCCCGGGGTCGTTCAAGAACCCACTGACACGGACCACAGCCCGAGTCAGTCTCCTGAGATAATCCATGACAAAGTGGACATTTGATTAGAGGGTGCTGTCGATCTCTGGACTCCTAATTATGTGAAATGGCACTTTATCGTAAACCTCCACGACTTCAGGTGGAACCGCGTCCTTACCTCATATGTTTTATACTGTAACTTCTGTTTTTCAAATCAAACGTTCTTTGTAGCCTGTTTTAGATTAGTCTTTTATGAATATTAAACAATTTGTTATTTAACGACACCCCTTTTCATTCTCGTTTTTTGTTGTCGTTGTCTTTGCGTCATACCGTCATATCCAAGGTGTATACTTAAAAAAACACTGACTTAAAAATGGAGTATTGATTGATTTATTTTAAATAGGTTTCTGTCTCTGAGCCGAGATATTGTCTCTTTGTTATATATTGCTTTTTAGGAGACTTTTCCTAAACCAACATAAAATGTCATAACTGATGGAATGAGTTTTTGTTTCACTACTTCTGAACACAAACGTAGTGAAACAAATACTATAAAACACGCTATGGTTTTGTATTACATGTTATTTTACTTTGAATGGGATTGAGGTGTGTGCTGTATGTGCAGATACTTTAATCACGCATCAAATACATCTAGTGAAATGTAGTGCATAAATTAATTTAATAAAATACACCATGTTCTGTACTGACATGCAATGGTGGTAAAATATCACGAACTTGTTCTTTACTAACGCCTTTACAAGAAAGTACAAAGTTGTATCACTGTTATAAATCATCACAAAAGATATCTTCGTTTTTTGTAATTAGACGCCACCTAGTGTTCAGTTCATATAAGGATTGTTTTTTTCGGACGGACAGGATTGGGTCCTGATGTGGATCAGATGGTTTGTGATGGAGTATTGTGGAAACATAATGGATTGAATTAACTAGAGAGATGGAGCTGCGAGGTAGAAGATGATTGTGGTGTTTTAGATGGAGACTGTTGATGGTTGAGATGAAGAGTTTAGAGACGGGATGAGGAGGAAGCTGATTAAATTATTATTACTTCCAACAACTTTGACAGATTCAAACATAAATGACTTATTTAGAAAAATCTTAAACATTTTATTGTGATGAAATAATTCATGCGACACAGAGTGATATTATTTATCATTTATCAACAAATAAAACCACACTTGAAAGTGCTGTTGTTACTCCAGGCAGATTGCCCCGTAACATGAGATGATTGTTACCTTATTGGTTTAATCAGGGGGTAGAAACCACTATTTATAAACACAAAAAATATTTACAACCCATTATTCCAGTTTTCAAAAAAATAAAATAACAAATGTGAATAATATAAGGAGATAATAAAATCACAATAAATAAAAATTAGTGTTGAGCTATTGCTGTAAACAACTTAACATTAAATAAAAGTAATTATAAAATAAGGGAAACAGTTTGTGTAAGGACAGTCTGGACCCAGTCAGGATCCAGAGGAGCTAGTGCACAGAAGTGTGAGGAGAGAAAGGTTTACCTCTGACCTCTGACCTTGGTACCTTTTTGTACCTTTGCCCAGTAGCTGGTGTCAGTGTGGAAACATATACTTCTGGTCATCGGTGGCTCTGGAGCCATCAGCAGATGCATGAATACACAGATGTGTCTCTGTTACAGAGACCACGTGATCAGACAAAGGACGATACAGCATGCTTTAGAAGAATGATCCTCGAACTGTAGTAGATGTGACACTAGTACGCGCACTTGGGCGCCCTCTAGTGATACATTGGTGATTTTGACTCCCATTAAGTTTCACTAGTTTCCAGACAAAACAATTGAACTTCTGCTTTTGCGTGGTTGGTTCTGTATTGTGTGTCTGTCTAAAAAACGCCCACTACTCTCGTTCCATTCCCTAAATAGAAAGACAAAAAAAAACATTTTCTTGTGTTGGTTGCTAGTTCTGTCCTCAACAGTTCCCTCTAATGCCCCAAGAATCAGACACACCACTAGTTCTCTCCTCCCCAGAGACCTCACAGTTTTCAGTAGTATATTGCAAAACAGTTGTTCTAGTGCAAGTCTAACCAGATAAAACTATATTCTCACACAATAAAAGTAACATCTAAAAACTCCACACATTTCCAAAGGAAAAACCAAACAAAAAACAACCCACCACATAGCATGAGGTCAGGTTTGCCACAAATAACAGAAAGTATGATCACATGACAGGTCATGAGGAACGCAGAATCACAGCAGTGCTTCATCCCATATTAATAGAGCTGAGGTCAGTAATGAGTAGACACTAACATTAACGAGTTTCACACCTCAAATTGGCCACACGATGGCAGACTAATACAGGAAGACAGTGCAGGTAGCATAAGAGAGTCACACAATCAACTGTGGCCCGTAATGTATCTGTTAGTTCTCCTGTCATAAATAGAAAGCCTGCTGCAGGCAGAGACGCATTTATTGCACACACGAACACAAACACACACACACACAGGACCTTAGTTAGAACAATTATTACGTTGAATGTCGAGGAAGAGTCTTTTCGGCTGCAACAGAGCTAGAATATCCCATTGATTTGTGCTTTTTGTTTTAATCTCAGTCTCCAAGTAACTGGCCACATTAGTCCAACAGTCTGTAAAAGTCATTAAGCTCTTTTTATTTACCCACATGATCCCGTGGAGCTTCCATAGTGTAGTTTGAGTGATAATCCTCTCCACAGTGATTTTTAGAGACTTCACCACATTTTTCTGACCTGCTCAGTAATGCCAGGGGTCACCCAGTGGCATCTTGGGAATATCAACGTGCATCTCCACAGGGTCAGGTGGCTGGTCTCTTCGGTAGGTTACGGTTTTCTCATTGGTTGTAGGAATATATGACAAATCCTGGAGGGTGGAAAAGGCATGCACCAGTCAAACATACAGACACACAAACACATAAAACTATGACAATAAGTGATGTGATGCATTTCTGTAAATTTGCAAATGACGCTGCAGAGGCATAGAGATTCTGAGTCATGAAGGACGGGAAGTGTAAGCTTTAGAGGATGATGTGATGACAACACTATCATCACATAACCACCATACTCTGGGTACTTCAGCTTGGTTATAATGGATTTTATTTATATATTATAATGTTTTATTGTTTCTTTGTTTGAAAGAGGCCGGAATTCAATAGCATCTAAAAAGACAGCAGGTCAAACTACAGCACTTCTCATCTAATGATATGAAGAGATTGACAGCCTGCAGGCTCTGACTGTGAGAACAGAGTCATTGTTCATTATCAATATGACTGAGGTTTCCTTGGATTATGTTGAGATTTGACATTCTTCTACCACAGGATGTTGCACAACTTTCCATGGGGGATAAGTAGTAATGTGAAAAAACATTGTGTGGTGTCTCTTAAAATTAGGAGGACTTCATTACCCTTCAGTTTAATGCATGGATGCATAGATTTGTCACATTATATAACCCTTCTGTGATGAGGCACAGCTTTGGAAAAAGTGCAAGAATAACGTGGAATATTCATCACGTTCATCAGGTTACCGTGGGAACACGGCGACCACTGGATAATCTGTGGGGTCATTAAGATGATCTGCAGTGGACGAGGAACAGTAATTGAGGACTTTGAAAAACACCACAGCATTTTTCAGAGCAGTAATAGAGACACAGGTCTCCAGAAAAGCTCCTCCTGGTTCAACTTTCCATCTTCTGCTTCTCCTCAAAGGTGCTGTACATCACTGTAAGCTCACAAATCTACGTGCAGGACATGGCGAGCTGGGAGTTCAGAGGAAATGTAAAATACAGCTGTACCTCTGACGGCAGCCTCAAATTCCTCTGTCCTGATTCTTTAGTGCAATTCATTTTAACACACCTATCCTGAGTTACCGGTTTGCTCAAATAGCTCAGGGCTCGTGGGACGTCACCCATTTTTATTTCAGGCCCTTCAGTGTTCCCGACATTGGACAGTTTACCTTTCCAGTGCAGTGATAAAATCCAACGTCAGCAGTGCCCTCTGCTGCCCAGCGTTTCTTTTGCAGAAGCAACCGGGACATAGCCACCACCACCAGGCCGCACAGCACAGTCAGAGCACACACGCTAAGGAATGTTCCAATCAGCCGACCACTGCTGCTACACTCTGTGGAGACGTACAAAAACAAGAATTTAATGTTGAACACACGCACACAGGAACATGCCAGAAATTCTTTTGGCCTTGTTGCTTTATATCTATTTTATCAAGTCAAAGTGTCATATTATACTTTTAAAATTCTTTAAGCTATTTACAAAGTTTCAGATTTTTTTTTGGCTCAGGATAATGTGTACATATATAGTTTGGGGCTAGCCTCTGCTAATGTTGCTGTATTTTTTTTCCAGGGGATCCAGGTGCATTTTGGGCTGAATATGTTGCATCTTTTAGATGTGTTTTAAAATAAAAATGTTCTTTTATCTATTAAAACGTTTTATTAAAGCTTCTTTAGCTAATAGTAATACTAATGGACTGCAAGATGATTAATGCAGCACAATAAGGAACACTTTTTTTTAACGCATTTGTGCTCTGCAGCTGAGCCTGTGTTGCTGTACTGAATAATCAGCAGGACGTGCATCTGTGAGAGCATGTGCGGAGGACAAGCTCATCGCTCAGCACAAAGAGCCCAAAGACCTCTCTGTCATTTTTGGAACAGTGTTTCTATGGAGACCTGGCTCGGGCTGCACCCAAGAGGGGTCGGTGTGAGCTCTCAGGAAGAGAGTGTACCGCTGGCCTGAGGGACTTGGGGGGTTGGAGAGGTGGGACAATGAGGAGTGCTGTTCCAAAAATGTGTGCGTGTCGGGGGGTAGTTTGGGTGGAGGTGAACTGTAACACTTGAATAGGATGTGTGTGTGTTAAAAGAAGGAAGAAAGTAAACAGGGAATTGCTGCAGAAAATGTAGAATACAGCTGTTACACTGACAGCAAACACGCTGACTACAATTCACCAGGGTGCAGCAGTGCAGCAGTGGTAGCAACGGAAGTGACCTTAAAAAAAGGTGTGTGTGTGTGCGTTGATGTGGGTGTGTACCTGGTCTTGTGCTGACGTGAATCTCTGTCTGACTAGAGTGTGAGCCGATTTGAAATCGGTAGCGACAGCTGTCATTACTGATGTACATGCATTGGATCCACTTTTCTAGGTCTTGACCTAGAAAAAAAAAAAGAATGAAAGTAATCAATGATATCAAAAACAAAAAACACAGAAGTGAAGACCAGAGTAACTGGAGGATGTATGGTTAACTACCTTTACCTGAGACATAATCCCTGTAGATCACCTGTGGTGGACAACTATGGTTGCAGTTTCCTGCACCTTTTTGTGAGAGGCCGTGTGTCAGGTGGCAGCCCACGCACTTCCTGAAAGAAAGAGACAAAACAAGGCGTTTCATCCTTCACCTGCGTCCACACGCAGTTCTCTCAAAGCTCTCGGCATACAGTACAACAGACAAGAAGCAGTGACCAGTACCAGTGTGACTGACAGGTGCTTTGGCAAGCAGGACATCGCTCGCAGTGGTCTCCTGAGTGTCTGACGTCGTCACACACACACTTGCCGCACACACATTTTCCCAGCCCGCTGCATATCAAGCCGTTGGCTGATTGGCAGTTTGCTTTGGAGAGTGGACAACTGCAGGTCTCACCTGTCCAGCCATCTTCACACACACACTCGCTCGACACGCACACACCTCTTCCTGGGGGAGACACACAGAGAGGCGTTCAGAATGGTTAGACGGCAGGCGGTTAGTGTGTTTAGAATCTTTTAAGTAAAAAGCTGATTTCACTTTGACAAGTTCCCAGTAAATATAAAGCGACCTTCAGTCACGTCTGCTTGACCTTTCCTGCTACTGAGCTGTGTTGTTCTTCCTTCCGTCCTAGTAACCAGCTTCATTACTCACCCCTTTACTCCAGTGTGTCCTGCTCAGTGTTATGACTAGCAAATTGTTTTGATAAAGTAGTGTTCCCTGCATCTGGCTTCACCTGAGCTCTTTGTGGGTTGAAAAGCTGACTGTTTGGATAAGTCCTGGCCCCTGTGTTTGTTTCTGAGTTTGGACTCTTGGAGTGATGAACGAACTGTCCTGTTCTGACACATTCATGTGCATTTTTAACACCCAAACTCATATATACCATAATTCTGACAGCACATAAATGCAGCATTTGGTCATAGTCAGATTATTGTGAAAGTCTTTAACTACAGGTCCCTGTGTGGTGTCTTCCATGTGTTGTGATATCTAGTGAGACTGCATGTTAAATAGACTGTAGTACTGTTCTAAAGTGAAATCTGCATGTGACAGTGTACAACGTCTGCTTCCTAATGTTGATATATTTGTCTTTTGTTTTTGTAAATACTCTGGACTTAGCTCTCTATGTTTATCTCTATGTTTTTGTACCAACAACCTTGGCTTTGCTCATATTCAGAACATTAATAATTTCATACCACATTTGTCCCTCTTACCTCCACACAGAAGTCCTCGCTCATATGGACAGGAGAAGTCGTCTTTCTCACAGTATTTCCCATAAACCGTCCCCAGTGTGCTCTGTTCACAGACACACCTCCCACAGTCACACTCCCCACGGCCACTGCAGTCCACATCTGATCCCTCGGCTCTGCAGGTTTGTTTTGAACGTGTGGCCGAGTCCTTGATCAGTCCGTGCTCCTGTCTCTGCTCCAGTCTGGAGCCGTCTTGAGTCCCAGTACACAACGACTGATTGTTGTCCCAACAGCGTCTTGTTGGTCCACAGCTACAGCTGCATCTGGAGTGAATCCTGATGACGCTGGTTTCGTTGTAACCAACAGGGCGAACGATCACTCGCACATCTTCATTTTCACCATCATCTGGACAAGAGTGCAGGCCGATGGTGACATTGAAGTAGACCTGAGTGAAGGGCAACAAAGTTACTACAGTATGAACTACTGAGATTGATACACTGAGCTGCTGCTGTGCATATTCTCATAACACACAGTATGAGTGTGTTTCTGAGGTAACAAATCAAACAGGCCACGTCAGTTTTCATAAATATGTAGAACGATGATAAGACCTATGGGAAATTGCTTGATAAGCATTGATTCTTCTTCTACAGAAGAATTCTTCGGGGGATTTTTGTGGATTTTTCCAGCTTTCTGGTTGGTCGGTGTACTTTTGGTAATCCATCCTTGGATTAAATTGCTGACCTTTACTCACTTTGTACAATGGGTCAACTATTACACAGTGATTATGCAGCTTTGTGTGTGAGAATGTTCAGTGCTCCACCAGGAGGTCTCACTGGCGGTTTAGGGAGTGAACAGAAAAGAAAAGATCTGAATGCAGTACAAAATGATTTCCTGTGAGGTGCAGAGAAGAAACAAAAGCTCTGTGCAGCAGGGCAGTATTTTTGGGATATTTCCTTCAGTAGAAGAAAGAAATGTGTCATCAGAGAGTAGCTAAAGGGGTTTCTTAATGCCAAGATGGACTATGACCCCGTTTAGTAGAAAACAGAGAAAAAACACAGTCAGATTAGACACAAACATGTGACAGCTGCACTGCCTTAGTCACAATGTCCACCTTTATGTGTTTTCTTGGTGTTTTAACATAATTGGAAAAAAGTGCTAGGATTTAAACAGATTACAGACAAAGTATTTTCTGGCATGGGTTTTTAATGTCTCTTTCTGTGGGTACTCCAGTTTCTTCCCACAGTCCAAAGGGATACGTTAACAGGACACGGTTAATTGAACATAGAATGTGAGTATTAATGTCGGTCCGTTCTCTATATTTGGCCCTGTGATCGACTGATAAACTGAGCATGCTCCAGCTCTTTGACCCTGAAAAAGACTGAGGATGAACTCATTCTAATTCTGAGAACTGTTCCCTTCACTCTCACCACTGTAACATTTGTTATTGGTGCAGAGACACTTATTTGGCACTTTGTGTGGAATTGAGTTCAGAATTTTACTTCTTCCTTCTATCCGTCTAATGAATGTTTGTGTGTTTACCGTCTGGTTGGGCTGAACTCCTGAGCAGCTCTGGTCTTCAGCAGTGCTTCCATCAGGACAGAGAGGAGACACAGACACCCAGTACCTGCTGGCTGCCTTGTCCTCCACAGACACTGAGAGTGCGACCTCTGACAACAGCCTCTGTGTTAAGCCATTATCATAGCAACAAGAGGAAGGGAGAGAAGTGACAAAAATGAAAGCATGAATAATCAAATGTGTCAAATTTGTACAGAAGTAATTCATTGTCAAAGTTTCCTTCTCAGATACGGAGGAAGAGTTAACGCGAACAAGGAAACTGGGTCAGAAATAGCGACTTTGTATTCATCCGTGATTAGGACACAGTTTCTGTTTGGGCCCTGCTGTTTGTGTGTGTGTGTGCGTGCATGTGTACGTGCACACATGCACCAAGATCTGTGGATATGGCAGAATGTTGGTTCAAACAATGAAAGCCCTGTGCCTGGGGGAAGATTATAGCCCACATTGCTGCCAACTGAACAAATGTCTAGTTTCTCCCTCCCTCGTTCTCCCTCTCTCTCTCTCTCACACACACGCGCACGTTCACATGCTTGTGCACAGGCAGCCTAACCGCTGCCTAACCTCCTATCCTTACTGGTCTTTTTTTGTGTCTTGAGAGATTCTACATCTTTTAACGTCTGCCATCATTTGACTTGAGTCTTTTTTAAAATCTAAATTTATATTCACATACAAAATACTTACGGATAGCAAAGAAAACTGAGGTCATGATGACTCAGCAAATGCCTCAAAACTTTTGAACCATCCTGCGTGGGCTGAAGAATTTGGCTCATGCTGTGCTTTTGTACTCTCCCATCCAACCTTTTTTTTTAAATCTGTCCCCATCTTTGCTTTGTCTATAGGACTTGGAGAGAAAAATAATATACTGTGTAATAATAGTTCCCTGTACCTTGTATGCATCCACCACCAGTTCTGAGAGGTTAGGGCCTTGGAACAGACCCAACTTTCCCAGATAGGAGCCAGGTATCAAACGCACCAACTCCTAGAAATGTTCATGAGAAGACAAATTTAGACAAGTGGATATCAACGCTGGTGTTGTTGTCCATTTTCTCTTACACATTACAAGTTTATGACATTACCTGGTACCACTGGTACTGCTGCTTCTCTACCGCAAAGATTGAGTAGATATGGTTCTGAAGTAGCTTGTCAGACAGTTGACCCACACTCGGATGGTCCTGAGAAAAACATAGCAACAAAGTAAATCTCCAACAATCTTTTTTTTTAACCCCAGATTTACTAAACCAGCAGATGATTATATTTCATTACATATACTTTTTGTGAGATTTTTGTGTGGTGGTGTGCCGTGGGGATTTTCTTGTTGATATATAACTGCCGTGGCTCAAAAAAAGGTTGGGAAACACTGCTCTAAGTCACAACCTAACCAGGACTTAGTCACCAATGACTATTGGTTTACTAAATGATGTAAAATGCTCTAGAAACAGGCATAAAAAGACCCTTCAGGTTTGTGGCCATAAGGGTTTGTTACAGAGCCAGACTAATCTCCATCTAATGACGAAGTCATTCGCCTGCTCTCACCATTCTGGTGCTGCCAGTGTAGATATTGTTCTCCAGGTGACACTGACCATCGTTTGGCGTGACAATCCCCGCCAGACGACTGTCCAGGGCCAGGTGAGACGGCTGGTCGGTCATCAAAAGCAGTAGACGCTTGGCCTCTCGTCGCCAACCCACCTCTCCCTGAAGGAGATAAAATGAATAACATGCTGAGTCATCATTTCTGTCTTAATCAAACAAATATCAGCTCAGATCTGTGTCTCCCTTCTCCTTTTGGAGGCTTTTCAAGTATCTTCTGTTCCCACGCATCACTCATCGCTACACCCACACACCAGCTAACGTGGAAAATACCGTTTGTGCATGTTTCAGAGATTAACAAGTTACATATGTGGTAGAAAATTGCACATTCAAACACATTTACTCATCTGAATTACATTAGCCGTCGTGATCAGCTCTCCTTAAAATGCCGAGCTGAAATAAAAGTGTGATGACATTATTCCATCAGCCTCACTGTCTCTGTCTTTATGTCTGTGACTCGTCATACGCACTGTGAGAAAAATGGGCCTCTGTGCGCACGTGTGTGTATTTAAGGAAACTGGGTGAGTTTATAAGCAGGCCTGACATAATGGAGAGTCTATTTCTAGGCTCATGACCAATGTGGTGTTTCCCTGCTGGCTGGCAACTTAGGGCCCCCCAATATGGTGTGACTCACAGCCCCCTGCAGTTCTAGCATATGCTGTGACTGTGTGTCTGCGTGTGTCTGCCATACCCTAACGTTGGTGTCATTAAAGAGCGGAATTCCAGTGGCACCACGAATGCTGAGTAAGACTGCTACTATTATCCCACAAGGAACGTTTTTTGCCAAAACATAGATTTATCACCACATTTCTGCTTTACTTCCATTTTTTTCTGCTAAGCATATCAATTAATTCAAGAAATCCAAATGAGTTCAGTCTGTTGCTGTTTGTCTTTGTTTCAAACAGAGGGAGGTATTTAGAGGCTATGTCTGTCTATCTATCATCTATATGTGTATATATATGTATGTATACACACCTCGCAGACAGCAGTTTGCAGCATAGCGTCCAGGCCTCCCTCAGGTGTGTCCATGTTTCCCGAGATGCGCTGGTTTTTGATCACGCGTGTGAACTCACTCATATTTCCTGTCATACTGAGGACATGGTGGAAGCCGTGGGCTGGACGGCAGCTGACCTCAAAATCACTGGGAAGACGGAAGAGAGACAGTCCAACGACAACAAGAAGAAAATTACAGTCTTTTAAAGGCAGGGCTTCAATCCGTTTATGTAACTGTCTGAAGGCCTGCGTGTCCGGTTGGTCTTGCAGCAAAGGTCATTCCCATAAAACTGTTACCGCAGCCAACTGACCAGCATCGCCTTTGGAAAACGGGAAGTGAGAGACTAGTGGTTGAATGTGGGACCCGTGTGAGCGGAGAACTGGTGGAAAAGTGTGATTTTATTGGGTTTGATTCCATGTGGCAGATTAATTCATTTCCACCGATCTGTAGATTCATTTTTCTTGGACAAACAGAGCGGCAGTTGTGCTTGAAAAGATCAGTTGAGAGGAGTTTTGAAGCAATAGCTGTGCATGTGTGGACGTGGAGAGAATGGTACCTGCAGGGGTTGCTGATCTTTGAGGGATGGACGTTAATAAAAGGGGAGACGGGTTTGTCCACAAATGAGCCAAAACCCATCCAGAAGTCTGTGGAGTGCTCCAACATACGCAGAGACAGAGCTATGCCTGCTGTCTTTAGCTGGACCACAGACCAGTAGGAGCAGAGAGGTCAAATGGACAAGTGAACAAATGGACAGCAAAAAGACAAAAAAGGAGATTAGATAAATGTTAAAAAATTAACTAAATTGTATTGTTAAATGTGTTTTCACCTTATTTGCAGTGTGGTCTTAAATGCTTACATGTCATGTGTTACTATTAGCACCTACCTGATCCAGGTGTTCTTGCATAGAAGCTGAAACGTCCACCAGGTAGTACAGATCCACAGGGTATCGTTCCAGCTGCTTCACAGCTACTGTAACACTGGCCTCTGCACCTGAGACGGAGGAAGAGAGCCAAGCATTACATCTTCTTCATGATAAATTATTCTGAATTTCTCAAATTGAGCAGTTCCATATGTAATGATTCCTGCTAATGGTGATACTTTTCCTGTAACAGAAAAACCAACTTTTTTGGATCAGGTTGACAGCGATTAGTCCACAGCTGGGGCAGATCTACCTGGCCTGAGGGTGATGCTAATATCTTGTGGTGACACTTGTGTGCTGCTGGGGGTTTCGTTGTCCTCCACCTTGACCTCTGGCTGCTCCATGTACTTTGACGTGCAGCCTCGTCTGAGCAGGTTTACTGGCAGGTCACAGCGATGACCCGGCCATAACCCGTCATGAAAGGTCTGCAGAATGAGAAAGGGAAAGACGTGTTTACACTCAAGTACAATACATATTAGAAAGATAAAACTTTATTAATCCCTTGGGAGTTTGTATTGGGAGAAAAAAAGAAAACATCATAGGAAAATGAATTAACTGTGTAGAAAGTGGAAGTTGAAACGCTCCTTTCTCCTCTGAATCAGGACAGCTGACAAATGAGTGGTAGAGGTGGTTACATATTTTGCCAACACATCCTTTTATAAGCTTTAGTTTTATTTGTGATTGGTGGCGGGGCTTTATGATAACATTATGACGTTATAGTTTTATTATGCAATTCTGTGTTTAGTCATCTGTTTTTATTATCAGGAAAAAAATGTCCTGGTTATTTTTACTCCTTCTGCTCCCTGAGGATCACGTTACTAAAGCAGGGAAAGAAGGTAGCTAGGTCAAATTTGATAGTCAGGTTGGCCCTCGTTCATTTCGCACCACCCTGAATGAATCTGTGTGAAAACAACCAGGCAACACTGTAGTACCATCGTGCCAAGCTTTTGGACTTTTCCAGTGGAGTATGGATGATTGATGTCTCTGAGAGGAATAATCAGAAAGTAAAAGCAGACCAGCACAGTAGGAAATGAAAATGAAACTACATCCTAATTGTGAAAGCCAGGCTAAATGTGTTTTATTGATCTTTGTCCTGTGGTTATGATTTGTTTGTCACAACTCTGAAAGTCACTGAGAATCTGAAAACTATATGGTTAGTTTCAGGGACTTTCCTAAACAATGTTTGTCTTCAGAACTGGAATTAAATCAGGCTTGGGATGTGAATATGCAAATTTAGGAACTGTGTACGTGTGTGTGTACGTGTGTGTGTCTGTGTGTAGGAGGTGGGAGAGGCGGTGTTTGGGTGCTGCTGAATGCTTTTATGCACCAGTGAGTTCAGACTTGCTTGCTGATGTCAGATAACGTTAGAGTTCAGGGAAACCACCTGAAGTCTGTAAACACATACAAGGCGAGGGTGTGTGTGTGTGTGTGAGTGGGAGAGGGAGAGGAGAGAAGGGAAGGAGAGTGTTTTGACCGGTGAAGGCCTGGAAGGCTTTAAAGGTTCTCAAGGGTCACGCAGAAACAGAGACAGACACAGACAAAAACACAGGCGGGTTGGAAATGTTCACTTGTCTAAATACACTCACACACACACACACACACACACACATGCAGTGGCCCAGGCCACTGAGCTCAAACATACACATTATATTCACATCTGCGGACGGCATCAAAGTTTTACTGTGTGTCATCTGAGGAATGCTGCTGCTGAAAGTCTGCCACGTTCCCTTTTTCTCTGTTTTTCTCTGACACACACACACACACACACACACACACACACACTCTTACTTACCTCCATAAAGCACCAGGCACACTGTGGTTGTCTGAGACACTGTGAACAAGAAGTGATACTAGGAGATGAACAGACACTGTCTCCTGCAGAGGAGAAGAAAGGGAAGGAGAAATGAAGAGGGGAGAGAACAGAGGGGAGAGAACAGAGGGGAGGAGAGGAAGAATTGTCAGCACATGTAGTGTTTTTTCTGCTACTTCCGATGACATCATTTGAATCACCAAAAAGCCTATTGAGAAATTAGAGAATAAAACCACTGAGGAGCATTAGAGAACAGGTGCTTGAGTTGTTGAGTGGTTAGGGGATCAATTCCCACACCTACAACCCAAAACACCCTTACACATACACACAAACACACAGTTGAACTAAACTGAATTACTTAGCTAAACATGAGTCAGTTATAAAGAATCCACACAACGGTTTGTCATTTAAACTGTATAAAAAACATATGTTTTTAAAGTACGTTTTTTTAAATGGAACCATTATCTGGTTTGTCCCCTCTGTAATAACAGCAAGATCCACGTGTTGTTATTAAATGGACCAAATGACTGCTTAAGAAAAACAATCATCTGATTAATTAACAGTTAAAAACAATAATGATCATTTTCCCTATTGTGAGAAAAGATGCTGCCAGAAACATGACTGTTACACAAAGCAGAAAAAGCTGCATGTTCCAACATAATTAACAGCCAGCTAACAAGCTGCTCTGACCCAATTAGCCCTCATGGCCTGAGGGAGACCTCCTGAATAGGCAATGTATTTAACTTCTAATTAAACATGATCAGTGCTCACTTAAGGAGGTCAGCAAGTTGAGTTGAGTGTTGTCTAGTGTGTCAGCCTGTACGGAATGGAACACAATGTATTCCTGTTAATATTCCTCTATTAGTATTGTTTTTATATTTAGTTTTGCTGCTTGTTGAGTGGTGTCTGTGCGTTGTGTATGTTTAGTAGGGAAATTGAACTATAGGTGGCAGTAAAGCATTCGATTTAGCTCACGAGACAACATCCCTGAAAAATACGTTTTATGATAATCAATATACCAATGTATATTTCATAGATTTTGAGTGACAGTACTATGTTGTGATTGGCCGAAGAGTAAAATGCATTACTTATCTGTGTCGAATTAGTTTGTACTGGGATCGATGGAATCAAGTAATTATTTTAGGAAACAAACAAGGTTTATAGCACCCCCTGTTGGGACGATATAACTTTTCCTTTGCAGGCAATAAGATACATTTCTGCATACTTACAGGAGTATAGCTTGCTAAAATGGGATGGCCAATATGACATGGTGGTCCATAAAGGTTTGATTGCCTCTCTCAATACACTAATGTTATTATTATTGCCGTTTGCATCTGCAGAATGTGACGGTAATATGTATTTGATATAGATATGTTGTGTGAATGAGGAAAACATATAGTAAGTGTTTCTATCCTGGGAAGCCACGGTACTCCCTGCGAAGCAGAGATGATGATGACGATGCTGATGCTGATGGGAGCTGATGTTGCGCAGTGACACAGAGAGGATGCAGGCTAATTCCTGGCATGTGATGGAGCCTAATTGACCCTAATGAGCCTTGACTCACCGGCGCTGGAGGCTTTCGCATAGACAGCGACCACCACACAGCACAGCAGGAGACACGGAGGGACGGTGCCTTGTGTGCGGAGCCAGGAAGTCATATTATCCAATCCTCACACGATCGGAGAGGAGCAAAGCAGCGAGGAGACACCTGGAGCCCGAGCCTGCGCAGCTACTGAGGAGGAACTGGCCGAGACCTGGTACCGTGCGTCCGCCGCTGCGCGAACAATAGCCGGGGAAGCCAAACCAAGCCACGGGGCATTGTCGGTCAAACAAATACCTTTCTAATCCCGATGAGGTTTTCACATTCCCGACTCAAATCAGCTTACAAGCGCGCTCCCCCCTGGGACGGGAGAGGAGGTGAAGCAGTCGGCACAGTGCGGCGTCTCCATCTACGTGCGTCCAGCCGCAGGTGATGGTGAAGTCTCATCCGGGACCAGGACTGAGCCGTGCCGAACCGAACCGAACCGACCTAAATACCAGCCAACTCTGAGTGCAGCCGGTGCGCACCAACACGTAGAGTGAACGTCCAACACTGAACACGGAGAGTGGCGGCGTTTTAACCGCTAGAGTGACTAAGGGTGCCATGGCAACGACGCTGGGAAGGAAGGGGGAGAGAGTGAGATTGACAGAGACAGTGTGTGTATGTGTGAGTGAGAGAGCGAGAGAGAGAGAGAGAGAGAGACCTCCGCTGCTACATTTCCAGTTAACTAACTATGGCCTTGAATTCTATCTGTTCTATCTATGTTTATATCAGTCATTTCCAAAGTCTGGGTCATGTCCCACAGATGGGTCACAGGCAGTGTCGAAAGTTTGTATGCAGCAGAAATTATTTTAATACAAGTTTCCCCCTAAATATTTCACAGAGTGCAATTTGGTAATGTTAGATAAATAATAAACAGCTTCTACTTTTGCCCAGAAATGGTCCAGCTAGGACACCACTTCCATGTCTTTTGTTGTTATGTTATGTGAGACATACATGGAAATATAAAATATAACATCAATATAGAGTTCACAAAAGTGAGCCAAACTTTTATAAAGGTCAAAAGGAACTTTTTTGTCGGATAAGTCATTAATACATTTTTAAAACGTTGTTTTCTGTTTTTAACCATATTGGGAAACAGCATTTGTATCAAGCTGATTTTGATAAACGTTTTGTTCTTTGGGATTGTTAGGAACGCAGGCTAAAGCTCCACAAGGTACAGTTCTCATAAGAACAACAAACTTCCTGAAAGGTTACTGAAACAATCCAAAGGAATGTAGATTAAAAGCAGATGGATTTACATTTCAATCCTTGATGTGTGTCAGACGTAGAGTGATTTCTAGAGGGAGCTGTTCCACATTAGTCAATATTAAAATATAAGTCCTTTAATCATAAGGTCTGTGAAACACTGGTCTGAAGTGTGTCTGTGAATCAGCCCTGAATGCTCCTGTGTACGGTGCATGTGTGTGACGATTGGGTCATGTAGCATGAATGAAGGGGTAAAAAAGAGAGGGGGTGGGGTCAATAAAACCAGAGTTCTTACAGAGGGGGTTCACAAGCTGGTGCTGAAGGAGCACGAGGAGCAGAGAGGGGAAGAGGGGGGTCTTGGGTCAATTTTGAACAGATTCCATTGACATTGAGTAACCTCGCCTTTCCCGCTGCTCCTTTG